GCACCTGACCAATGAAGATAGCATTGATGGACTCGGAAGAAAAAAAATTCAAGGTATCTGGGAAATTTATGAGCAGTCAACTGGGAAGGAAATTGAAGAGAATTATTATTGTTGTTGTTGTTGTTATTATTGTCTTATTCTTCTGTCAAGCTAACTATTGCAAAAGGCTGTTTATACTCTTAGTAACTATTTCCGCAAAGAAAACCCAAACAAAATAATCTGTTGTGTTACAATTACATTGCACAATGTAAGTACAAGTTGAAAATACATGTGTCATGGTTTATTTGTTGGGTGTTTTTCACACGATTTCTCTGGGTTTGATAAATGGGTTTCTCTAATCAAGGTATGTACAGAATGTCGACACAAACTTTAGCCCTTTGTTTTTATTCTGGTTTTATAGAATTCAGAACATACTAAGGATAAAGCAGATAAAATAGGTACAGAAAGGTCACTTAACCTTAAGAATACTGCTGTTTGCTTTCAGTTTGTTGATATCTGATAATAGCAGAGTCTTGAATACATATGATGAATTTATTTAGATTATTCAGAACAAAATAATTGAGTATTTGCTGTCAAGTTCTAACCTTTAGGCAAAATAATTTTAAACATCATTTTCTACACTAATCTGCCTATGTTTTTTTCCATTTTATTTTCTTTTTTTAGTGTTAATCAAGTACGGTGATTTTAAATGTCTCAGTAGTGGAGCATATGTGTCTTTGTCATGTAAAATATTGCAGAGCTTCCATGTTTGGTTTACCTAGTGTAAAAGAGAAACTAGAGCTACTTCCTTTTTTCTAAAAAGTGTGCAACTTTGGAGGGACATGAGGGAAGGGGAGAGGAAGTTGGGCTTTATACAGGGGTGGGAGGAGGTTAGGAAACTTAATGTGAACAACCAGTAATAAGCCATGATGTTAAAAAAATGAAAAAAACATAAGCACACTCTTTTCTGCAGCGTGCCAGACAATTTCCAGCATACTACATTTCCTCTGCTTAGCATTGTGTTGTGCCTCATATGACATGGTGGATGAGGTTGTACATTATGATGGTGTGACTAACAGAAAACAACTAAGATACGTTTTATGTTGCCAGCCAAAAATTCTCAATTCTAACAATGTGAACTTAGCTGCTACATCTTTCTGTGGTGACTTTTTAGAGCCTAAAATACTCTGGAGGCTCATCTGTTTGGGGAAAGTAGCCCTTTAAAATGAAGCACAGTGCTGAAGTTGGGATATAACGAGATCATCTTATTTTCATTGAATAAACAAAGTAGGGTTACTTTCTTAAACCCTAGAAATTCACTACATGTCTGTAAGACAAATGATGTAAAAAGCTACTTTATACTTTGTCAAAGCTTGTGTTTTTTTAAAAAATTATATACATCAAGTTCTGCATATGAACCAGCTCAAGAGGAAGTTCTTTGGAAATACTTGACATTAAGATGACACTAAACCAAACTGAATCACGAGACCTATTTTAACTACAAATGTCTCCATTCTGGGTTTATTGGAAATATGCAAATAGGTATCTCTTCCTCACTAGATGAAACTTCTTGAAAAATTGTTACTGAGCACAGCGTTTTAAGTTTCTTACGCTTCCATCTAATAGCCTTATAATTGGAGTAGTAACTCAAGGGAGAGCGGAGAGGGAGTGGCACTGAAATCCTAACAGATGTGGAGGTGACAAGGTGGGTTGCCAGTGTACACTTGGTGCTCTGCACCGCTGAGTCTGTCCTTCCATCTGTTTATACTTGTGAAGAATTGCAGTCTCGCGTGATTGCTCTGAACAGTTACTGGTCCATAGCAAGTTTCTTGGCAACTATGTGTAGAAGATACACTTCTCCTCTGCTAATCCCCCAGAGTTCTGTCTTGTTCCTTCACCAGGTGCTTTTTATTTTAGATTTTACTGTGAACTTCATGTTGTCAGACTTCTCGACTTCCTGCTCTGTGAGCACAGAAGTCCACGTTTGGGTTATGCAATAAGTTTCTGTCTAAGGCAGGACAAGGAGGGGCCAAGACGCTAATCCACTGTTGAGGAGCAGCAAGGAGAGAGAAGACAGCCCACTGCAACTGGTGCATTGGCTATAGACCAGACATCCTACTCCAGTGAGCTCAGTAAAGTTAGGAAGGCAGGTAGGAGCCATGTGTATGAGTCTCACACGCAGTGCGAAGTGCCATTCTCCATTTTAGCAGTGTCCATAAACTTTTAGCCTTATAAAGCCTTTTCTTCTGATTAAATGCTCTGGAATGACTTGCTCTCTACAACTACTTGAAAGGAGGTTGTAACAAGGAGGGTGTCGATCTCTTTTCCCAAACAGGACAAGAGGAGATGGCCTTAAATTGAGCCAGGGGAGGGTTAGATTGGATATTAGGAAAAATTTCTTCACCAAAAGGGTTATCAAGCATTCGAACAGGCTGCCCAGGGAAGTGGTTGAGTCACCACCCCTGGAAGTATTTAAAAGACATGTAGATGTGGTGCTTAGGGACATGGTTTAGTGGTGGGCTTGTCAGTGCTAGATTTATGGTTGGACTCCGTGATCTTAGGGGTCTTTTCCAACCTAAACTATTCTATGACTAGCCGTCTCTACTTAGAAAAATATGAACATGATTTTACTGATGCAGCTGCTATTTGGTGCTTGCAGTACACTTTCCCTTGTGAGACAAACAAGTCCCAAAGTACTGACACTAAAGACACTGATGCTATCTCTTTGCTGTATTTTCTATCTTGAGTTGATAAGAGAATGATTCTGTTTGTGGTTAATGTGTTCAGACACATGTCAAGATTTGTCATACATTCAGGGAGATGTAGATTTTCCTATCACCGCTTGCTTTGTTTTGTTCCTGTGAGTTTTTGAACCCGTTCAAGATGTGAAAGTCCTGAAAACATCAGACCTTAACAAAGGACCGTAAGTGAGCAGAGATCAGTAGCTGGGAGGGACATTTGGAAGAAGTGAGGACGTGCTAGTGAGATGCTGGACAAAGTGTTTTGAGGCGGAGCGCTTTCCCTGCCTGGTTACACTTGTGCAACCAGGAATGCAGAATCTCTGGGACCAAAGAGGGGGCCTCACTTCATAGCCTAATGATATGAGGTGGGAGGAAAGAAGATAATTTGTAGATTCTGGTGCTGCTTGTTCATTTTGCATCTAAGAAATCATCAGATTAAATGTATACATAATGTTTGCAACCTCATTCAGTAATTCTTGCTCCCAAAAAAGTAACGTTCCTGGTAGCTCTACAGTCTAGGTTTTCTTGAGTGAGGAGCCTATCTACGTAACACTCTTGGGACCAGGTGGTTAGCTTCTGAGGGACCTTCTTGCTCGGTAGATACCTCAAGTACTGCATATCAAAAGTAGATGAATTGTAGAAGTGATATGAATTTTCCTCCACTTATTCTTTGGCAGTTATAGTTCTCTCAGTTTCCAGTAGATGTGCACAAGTTTTGGTCATGGGCTTACAGTCATCTGGAACAGTTTCACTAGAGCTGAGGAAAGAATTTCTGAAGCAGCTTCTTTTCCAGTGCCCTGTCATTCCCAGAGTCCAGTCAGGACCTTTTTTTTAATACAGAAATTTTTTGTTACAGGCAGCTTTCCCTATGATTCCAGAGATTATAGCCTTCCTCTTATCCCATCCCATTTACCGCCTTCATCGTAACACAAAACGATTGAAGGGGCTAAGGGTAGTTTAGAACTGTTCTTTCTCATTTTAGAATGGTGTTACATCCAACCCTGAGAGCTGTCATAAAATGAAAGTACAACAAAATGAAAGTCAGCGTTTTCCAAAGCAGAATGTATTTTTGCTAAAAGTCTCATTATCTCACTGGATAATTAACAATAACTATGTAAATAATCTGAAAAATATACCCCTTCCAAAGGAAGTTGTGTTTTCCTATACTGTCTCCCTTTGTGTATGCAGCAATGCATTTGGTATGTTTATACAAATGTCAATGAGATAAAACAAATATCCCCAAATAAATAGCCCAGGTGTAGAGTTTCTACATTGCATTGTTTGGGTATGTTTATGGATTTTAGGGGGTTCATATCTTTTCCTGTTCATTTCACTCTGTTGTCATAGAGTAATTCTTGTAGCATAACAGACAATGAATAGTCACAAATACTGAAAGGTGGCATAAAGCAGAATGGAGACAGAGTTTGTGCACAAACTTTGGCCTTCCTGCTGGACCACTTTGGGCTCAAGTGCTGGGGCTTCGTAATGGGATTTGAAACGATGGCTGAGTGATGCTGTAGATCATTTATGGGGCACATGGATTTCTATTGCTCCTCCTGAATCTGAAATGAAATCAAGCCCAAGGCAAGCATGACTGTGAATGCAGGGAATGGGTATTTGTCTCATAGGTGGGAGAAGGAAATTACAAAAACTGGCTTTTTCAATATCACAGTTTTTAATTAACTGGTTTTTGAAATTTTTTTTTTCCTCCTAGAAGGTAGATGGGATCCTTTTGGAATAAGTCTGTGCATACTCTTAGATTTAACTTCAAATCAGCTGTTTGGCTTTTGTTTTTACTAGAAGGAGAGACTTGGGGGGGAACAGAACCCTTAAGGGGTTGGGTTTTTTAAGGAGTGTTTGCAATGCTTCAGCATCCTCAAGGGCAGCCTTAATCTTCTCAGGTTAGCATGCAGCATACCCTGGCCAGTTCCTTTACTAGAAATGAAAATTTTGTTTGAATTTTGACCTCTTTGAGAAAGGGTCACTTGATTTGAGCTCAAATCCTGAAACAAACAAAAAACCCCAAGCAGCTCTCTGAGTCACAGGCAATGCAGTTACACAGATTTAAAAAAGTAATCGTCTGTAGCTGTGGGGAAGTTAGAGGTAAAGAAATCCCCTATTCTTTCTCTGATTCTTGACTCAGAACTCTGGGTAAATACAATAAAAAGTGCTTTAAAAACAGAAAGACCAACTGCTATCTGCAGCTAAATACAAAGTAAATTTGGTGTATTTAAGTTTTTTGGATTTTTTTGGTTTTTAACATTTCATTTTTGCTTTTAGGTTTCTGGGATTTGCTACAATAGCAGTATATTAAAAGTTCATCGCATTCTTTGTGTACCCAGCTGGGTAGCAAAGATATTTTCTTGGACTCTTGAACCAATCTTCTCATCTGCGGAACCAACGAATGAAGTTCGAGTGGGAATGGGAGCAACAGTTGACATCCAGAGGCAGCAGAGAATGGAGTTACTGGATCGTCAAATCATGATGTCTCAGGTTGCCCAAATGAGGCGGCAAAGGCAGCAGCAGGTATTGATACACATTCTGTAAGGACTATATTAAGTGATGGGAAAAATACATTTTTAGTTCATGCATCTTGTGGTTCCTGTTTCTTAAAAATAATGTATTTATTCTTCTTCATCAGTCTTTCATAGGCTGTTGTACTGCTGATAGCCATGTAGGTGTTTTATATAGCTTTATATGTTAAAACTGCTTCACGAGATGTAAGCAGAATGTGAGACAATCCTGTAAGGTTATCAGTACTTCTGGCATTGTTTCACCAAAACTGAGGCTGAAAGGTAAAGTGATTGCCTCTCGGTGATCTTTAGTAAGAACCATCGTGGAAAGTTAGGAAGTCAGAACCCTCCTGACTCTTCTGAGTATTTGTATTGTTAGCATCCTTTTCAGAGAGGTTGAAAATTGTCTACATGACTCCTTTGTTTGTAGAAGTACTTTGAATATGGCTTGTTTCTTTTAAGAATGTGCAGAAATTAAATTCTCTAAGTATCTTACAGAGGTCAACCACAGGGACTTTCTGTTTGCTGTGTTTACTACTCTTGTTTTATTTCCTTATTGAACAGAATCACGGAGCCTTTTTATTTTCTCTGTTTTAGTCAAACCAGCAAATGCAGATATTCACATACTTGGCATCATAGGGCAGTAAAACAAGGTGTCTCAATTCACTTTTTCCTGTATCTTAGATGTCTGTGTAACTCCTCTATCAAACCTAGCAGGAAACATAGGCCTTGCATTGCTCTATGTGAACATACATTATTCATAATTTAATTACAGCCTAGCAATTTGAGGTCTTTACTGAGTTTGCTCTGCTTGAAACACAGCTCTGTACTGATACACGAGTTCTTGTTGTGTTCAAGGTAGTGTAGCGTGAGTAGGTATAGCTATGTTACCTGTAATATATTGCCAGAATTAGAGGTGAGATGGCATAAAGCTTTGGCCAACAACTGGAGTATGAATTTTTGTTTTCCCTGATAACATAATTCTGTTTTCCTTGATTTCTTAGCATTTCAATCTGATGAAATTGTTCCTCGGGTGGAAAGATCCTAATCTACATTTCTGTATTCCCATTGGAACGTTAATCAGTTTTAACACAAGAACTGAACTAGAAACTACTCAATTCATAAAAGTTGCTGTTGTAATAGAAAATGAATTGAAAATGTTTCTTGGGCTACAAGCTGCTGGGTAGAGTGCAGCCAAGATTCCTCAGACAGGAGGAAAAAGCCATTTCCAGTTATGAAGGACAATCTTTATAATATATCTTTAATTGCAGAAGTGGTAAATAAGTTCAGAACGATAAATGATAAAAGAAGAGTTGGTAACATTTTCTTCTCTTCCTTTCCTTCGGCTATGAACAATGAAAGTGGAAAAAAGTCTTTTCATGTTTGACTTCAAATAGAGTTCTTTAAAAAGGTGGAGGGGTTTAAGTAACATAAATGAACATTGTTTGAACATCAGTAAGATGCTTCCCATTACAAGTTGCTGAAACACTTTCAAGTTATCTTCATGTTTGGTCTTTAACTTGAGCACAGCATTTAGTTAACTGATAGTGCTAATCTGTGAAACGAGTGATTAGAAGGCGATGGGATCCATGTATAAATGTTTCAGAGAGGCTCTTCAGAAAAGATGTGTCATGAAAGCTTTTGACGAGCCTTTTTTTTAATGACTCAGGGAATTTACTGGCCATCAACTAAATCACAAAAAGTATCATTCACAAATGTTGAGATGTAGTGGTAAAAATGAAAAGCGGGCTAATTTCAATCTCAAAGTAACATTTAAAAATTGAAAACAAACAAAAAAATGGAATATCCACATTCTGGATTGCTGTACTTGGGCAATTCATTTGCTTGACAGTAAAAGGCTTGGAAAGGTATAATTTGAAGACAGTGGAGTTGAACAGATCACATTGCAGATGGAATTTAGATGATAATTTTACCTGTGGGAGTGAAGCTGATAAAGAATACAGATCAGTTTCTTGGGGAGGTTTTTTTGTGAAACTGAAAATAATAAAAGCTGCGAAGTATATATCAGTCATCAAAGATGGTTTTGAATTATATTCTATGTGAGCATTGTGCAGATTGCTGGAGTTCCCATATGCTGTTTGTAGGTAATGTGCCGTAGGTGAGATAAATTAACATTTTCTCTCCTGCTTTCCATTTTGTTTGGCAAGGGAAGTGAACTTTAACTTTCCTCTGTATGCCATAGTGCAACAATTTTGTTTGGCTGCCCCTTCAGAAGTTGCTCTGCTCATTCCTCCTACTCCTTTACTCTTCAGTTCATCTGTTTGAGGAAAGAGGCAGCATGGTTTCCCTGCGTATTGGTAGCATTATGGAAGGAGAACGCAAGAACATGGTAGGCGGTTCAGTGATGCCCCATTGTCTGCGCAGTGTGGCAAACTGTTCTGGCCATAAGGAGGCCCCTTTCTTAAATAGACATTTTTTGTAGTAAGTGTATGCTTCAAATCTTTGCAAGAAATTCTGAAGAATGTGAGCCTGACAAGTTACACCACAGAATGCAAAGAGTAAAAGTTAAAAAAAAAAAAAGGGGGGGGGGGGGGGGGGGGGAACGGGGG